GAAGAGTACCGCGGCAGAAGATTGAAGGGGGTTTTATACCGATCTTATCCGGGGCTGTCGGGCGATAAAAATCTGGGATCGATGTTTATCTTTCCAAAGAATGAACACATTACAGGAAAAATACTTACCTGCTCATTTTCGACAAGTGTACGTGGGAGCCACCAAGCAAACACCAAGTTGTTTATCGTTGGGCGGGCGGGCGCCCGCCGCCATGACGCAAGCGCCTTCTGGTTGTAAGCTTCATTGAGCGGAGAGGTATACCCTCGCAAATCTTTACGAGGAAACTGATTTTCTCGGACACTAAGGTCGAATCCGATGAACGAGGAATCAAGAGTCGTTCGTGAGCAGAAGCATCGCGATGGCTAGTACTCCTGGTCACGCGTGACAGCTCTTCTTCTCTTACCATCATCATCATCTCCGCCAGCAATGACAGCGACGACGAACAACGTTGATGCGATACAGGAGGTAAGCGCCATCTCGCCCTGCTATGCGATCCCTCACCCCATCGTGCTGCAGGACCGTCTCGTCGAGCTGACGGAGATGGAGCGAAACAACTCAGAGATGACTGACGATTCGCCATTTACCTCGGCTTTGACGACGCCTGTGGACCAAGATGTGCCCATCAATGTCTTTCAGGGGATACACAAGGCCCTTGCGAGAGATATGGACGGCTCAGCGGTAGACTCGTACTTTGATTCAAAGGCTGTAGGCAAAGGCGCGCATATCGCGCAGGTATCGCAGCAGTTAGAGGAAAGAAGGGTGGTTGAGGTTGAGGTTAGCTTTATGCTTCTTTCAACTGCGGAACCGTTTTACAGCCATTTATTAGATAGCCCCAGACGCAGTGTTGGAACTGGTGGCGACATTGGTCCCGGAAGCGATTTTGGCCCTGCAGGCGACGTTAGCCCCAGAAACGACGTTATCCTTGGAGAGGTCGTCATCATTGGTTGTAGAAGACACAACAAGCGACAGGCCATCTCTTTCCCCGCTAAACCAAGAACCGAGTCCTATGGTTGGGGATTTGAATGAGGTTCGGATTATCAAAATTTGGAGGCGGTTTCTCTGACTTTGTCTCACAAGGAGGACTGCGTGGAACCCCCCGCATTATGTTTAGAAGGCAACCCCACTGTCCCGCAGCTGAGCAATGTAAGTCGAGTTCCCAGTTCTCATTTTAGCGCTCACAGGTCGGTGTGGTCTGGTGATCTTTTACCCCGTGCCTTCCCTTCCGGGTACATCAGCCAGGACGATACCAGTTCACCATACTTCTCTTCTCCCGACATCGATACCTAACCAGCGGCAATTTACGTCCTTTTCGAGTAATATTGACCAAAGCATCCTTCTCAGACCATCTATACGCTGCCGAACGGACCTATTTTGGTGGAGAGCCTCTCCACCAATTCCCAAAATCAGGTTTAATTAGTTTCATCGACTATATGTGCCGCTTATCAACCTCTGTTAGCTCACCGTCGACGACACATATCCCACAGGCTTAGAGCCTAATATTGATCCCAAAGTAACCCCTTCCTCCGTTCTGACCGATGACTACGAACCTAGATATCCCCA